TCGGTCAAGTTGACGTGGTGGATGATGAATTGGTTGCCGATGGCCACGATGTGCGTGTCGGGGACTCGCTGGGCCACCCACACCGCCGACGCCCCCGAGTCGTCTGGCAGGATGTGGAATACCCACCCTTCCTTGGTGTCAGTCACAGTCAGCGTCTCCCCCGCTTCGCTGTACACGGCGTCGCCTTCCCATTCGGCGCCATAGTACCCGTACTGTACGGCCAAGTCCCCCATGAGTTGGACGGCCTCTCGCGCTGTCTTGGTGCGTTCAAAGGCCACGCGCGCCAGCTCTGTGATATCGAAGAGCGCTTTGCCGCCTTGGGTAGCTGGTTTGGCCCACAAGTTGGCCCCGCACGTGCTTTCGCCGATGGCCAGTTGATGCTCGTTGATGATGGGATACAGACCGTCGATGTATGCATATGTGGTGGCCACCTGGGGGATTTGACCAATGATTGGGGTCTCGGTCCAGTTGTAAAAACCGCGTTCAAGGTTGGACAAATAGTACGCAGGGGCGCCGCGGTCACTGCCCACTACAATGTGATTGAACATGATGTGGCAGGTCGTGGACCACCCACCGTATCGGGGAAACGCTTGGCGGAGGAGGGGCACGTTACGCAACGAGCCACGGGGATGACTGAGTTGGGGCACTTTCGTAAGACGAAAGTCACACGACGAGCAGTCGGCCGTGTGCGTGGTCATGGGCGACCCGCTGGCAGAAGCCTGGCATTGCATTCATTTTGAGTGACGAGTCGAAGGAACTTGTGACCTACCTTGGCGCCGACAAGGATCACAGTGCACTTGTCAGGTTCGTGGAGTTTTGCCGACGACGCGGCTGCGATGGTCGCAAGCACAGGCTCAACGATGCGCATGTCCAAAATGAATATGACAAGCCAAAGATGAGTTCACGTTATGGTGGATATGCTGCTTTCCGAAACTATCTCGAGGCCAACTCAGGTGTCCCGACCCGTTGTTATACTGATCCCCTTCTCGCAACTTCAACTCTTGAACTCCCGTTGTGACGTCCAGGTCGTAACGACGAAAAGTCAAATATCCTCAATGTGTTATAATTGTGGTTGGGGGATTGGATATCTTTGCACTTTGGCAATGCCAAAGTGTACGGGAGGTAGAGGTTATCCTAACGCTATAGAAATCTCATTACGATGGCCCGAGTTGAAGGTATATGACAGTCAAAACCACAGCATTCATAGTGCAATTGTGAAATTGAAACGAAAAGAGCAACGACGACGATGGGAACACCCCGACTGAAATGATATGCTTACAGTCCGACGTGTTCATGTGCAGTAAGTACCGGTACAGTACAGTACCAACTACTCCTGAGTACAGTACGTATTAATAGTACTTCGAGGTAGTACTACGTAGTACTAGTAGTACAGTACTAGTAGTAATACAGTACCTGCCACATGCCAAATACTTCAAGTACTACTACAGTACCCTGCCTAGTGGATACTCCTCGTCCAGTTCACTTTTAAACTCGGCAAAGCAGAAAGAAACCCATCATGTTTGTGCTGGCCATTCTGTCTGCGGTCGCGGGCGTGGCCGCCGCGCGACAGTACGACACTGATCGATGCACGATCTTGCTCGTCGGAGCCAAAGTAATCAATCCAAACCTACAGCAAACGAGTACAATTCTCACGCTTCGAATAGGCCTCGGCCACTGGCACACCCATGACGACCCACACGGCGGACTCGTCCAACTATGACTTCCGCATCGCCAAGGTGCCTCAACAGCAACATGCCACTGGGACGAGCCGCAACGTGCCGTTGTTGCGCCAAGAATACCCCCGATATGGTACTCGTCCAAGCCCAAGACGGTGGCTAACAAGCGTTTGTAGTTGGTCGGGATCGGGGCGCCAAAGAGTACTTTCGTGAAAATCTCGAGCCAGGCTTTTTCAACTGGACCGAATCCCCCACCATCGGTCAGATTCCTCAAGTGGCCACCACGTACGGGTACATCGACGGCATGTACCCCATCATCAACGAGCACCAGCTAGCCTTTGGCGAAAGCACTTGTGGGGCCAAATTGTGGGCCAAACCAGCTACCCAAGGCGGCAAAGCGCTCTTCGATATCACAGAGCTGGCGCGCGTCGCGCTAGAACGTACGAGAACCGCGCGAGAGGCCATCCAACTCATGGGGGACTTGGCCGTGCAGTACGGGTACTATGGCGCCGAGTGGGAAGGCGACTCAGTTTTGAGTGAAGCGGGGGAGACTCTGACTGTGACAGACACCAAGGAAGGGTGGGTGTTTCACATCCTGCCAGACGACTCGGGGGCGTCGGCGGTGTGGGTGGCCCAGCGAGTCCCCGACACGCACATCGTGGCCATCGGCAACCAATTCATCATCCACCACGTCAACTTGACCGACTCGGACAACTTCCTCGGCTCCTCCAACCTCTACGACGTGGCCAAACGCAATAACTTCTGGGACGGCCAGTCCGACTTTGACTTTACAGTCGCGTACGCCGAGCCCTTTGACGCTGACACGAGCAAAATCGTGACCCGCCGCCAATGGCGTGTCCTGACGCTGGCCAATCCAAAGCTAAACTTGAGTCCGTTCACGGATGTTTACGGCACCGACTATCCGTTTTCCGTCGAGGTACTAACTACATTGACAAATGACTCTAGGAATAGTATCTCCTTGACGATGGTATGTACATTGACGTTAGACTGGTCGCATTCTGACTGTGCACGACATCATGCGCATCCAACGCGACCACTACGAAAACACTCCGTTCGACTTGACCCAAGGCCCGGCGTCTGGACCATACGGCAACCCCGCTCGCTACGGTAACCCTAGCCACCTAGCTAGCTATGATTCGTAACCCTACGTAGCATATACTAAAGGAAATGATTGGTTTGAATGATTTTTATAGGCACGGGGCCCAATGTAACAGCGCCTGCGTGGTCGAACGGCCAACGAACGATCTTTGAACGACCGATCTCATACCACACGACAGCGTACTCGTACGTGACGAGTTTGCACCCCACGAATGACAACCTTTCACTGCTCTGGTACTGTATCCCAGCTGGAATCGCTCTCTAACTCACGAGATAACATAACTGGGGCCTAGGTTTGGGGCTAACGTCCCCCACTCCACCGCGTACGTGCCCATCTACACCAAAGTGAGCTCCGTGCCAGCGTTGACTTCGCACGGATCTCTCCGACGCTTCGACTTGAATGTGTCGTTCTGGTTG